CTGACACCTCATCTGCTATTGATTTTGGGAGCTATTAACTAAGCTGCTATTTTTATTGTAATAGTGGGATGTTAATTTAATAAAGAAATACATTCAGTTCTGGCCAGCACCTCAGCCCTGCCATTCATTAAAGTGGTCTGTCAGCAAGATTTTTTTGTTTCCTGTTTTTGTTCCTGGTGCCACATTTGCTACAACTCTTTTAGCTCTAAATGGGAACTAGATGGCAAAACTGAAATAGGCCCAGAAGATCCATTCGCTGGCTCATAGCCTACAGCTATTTTGGAAAAGAAATCTATCTAAACTTGATGGCTGATTAGAGTTCACTGACATAGTATATTCTATTATTATGTTATTGTTGTATATATTATATTATTATATTATGTGGGTGATTAGAGTTCAGTGACATATTTCCCAATATATACTGGTTGTTTTACTATTATTCTTCATTCTTCAGGATTGAGCGCTGCATGGTGTCTCTGGATGCATACATTCATGCTCATCATGTAGGGACTTCCACTTCAGGTGATGACTTGCATGCGTGAAACCTGAAGTCCAAGGCTCTTTGGTGCATGCTTCATATTTTGAGTTGCAAACCACTGAATGTTGAACGATGTACACTTGAACAATCAGGTGTTGGTGATGAACCTGGCTTCTTAAAAGAAGTTCATTCAAATGCCGAGGTCTCATCTGCTCATTGTTGGACAGGTGGGCTGTTTTGAGACCCTAACATATGAGAGTTGCAAACTGTCTGTGCAGTTGTGAGGCTTTTCTGTTATTCATTGCAACCAAGCATTCGTGCAGTTTCCAGTTGCTGTGTTGTGTTTTTTTAGTTTGAGAATGTCTATGAAACCATGTGGATTCCTAGAACTTCTGAAAAGGGGTTTCATCACAGTGCACATATATCTTTTCCAAAGTAACTGTAGACTACGAGCCAGCAAACCGAAATTCTGGGCCTGTTGCAGTCATGCCATATCATCACAGCGTACACACACACACACACACACACACACACACAATTTCATTGTAGCCATCTTACAATTAGGAAGACTACCCATCAGCCAAATAAAATGCTCTCCAAAAAAATAGGACTGTTCTCAAATTTTTACCAAAATAATGATAGAAGTTGCTGCCATTTTCTTTGGAAAGAGGAAACTTTCTTTGCCTGATTAACACCATGAAGACCATGCTCCTTGTCCTAAGCGTTGTACATAGTGTTGGCACACATCCCATCCATGGATCTTAATCTGCAGATAAGCTGATGTTTCCTCTTAGATTGTTTTCTCCTCATTTTGCATAGGAGCAAATTAACTGAGAGTTTTTTTTTTTTTAAGAATTCTTTTTTTTCATTTGAGGAGTGGAGGAATTGAATAAGATCACTCCTATTTAGCACTCAAATAACATGTCACATCTACTATATTTTAGGTGTAAAATATTTTCCTTCTTTTAGTATATGGAATAAACTGGTTTGTCAGAATTACTTTTAACCAGTTATCTAGAAAGCATTGGAGAATAGGGAGGTCAGGCTTGGTAATGCATACTTGTTCATTGACTTTATTTCAAAAAAGGAACCATATTTCACAGTCTGTCTCCATCTGATTTATTCCTGTTTTTCACATTTTCTTTTCTTTTTTGTCTTTGGGTTCCTTGTGTCTGCGCTCATTTTTTATATTATTTATGTTTTTTCTCTCTCTCTCATGGAGGCTCAGATTAAATCTCTCAGATGACTTGTTTTGTGAATAATAAATAATATACCCCAGCTTTTGAATGTTAAATATAAGATGGTATGATTTTTATGGAAGCTGCCAGAACTTTTGAAGTAGCATGTTCATATCTGCTAGCACTCTAGGTCATGGCTCCTTCATAATAATAATAAAAATACATAACTATATAAAACATGCATGCATGTGCACACACACACGTGCGCGCGCGCGCGCGCGCACACACACACACACAGAGAGAGAGAGAGAGAGAGAGAGAGAGAGAGAGAGAGAGAGAACATTCATCTATAAGTTGGAGATGACCTGATGGCATGTCGCAACAACAAATGTATAATGAACTTGGTGGCTACTTTAATGACACTGTCCAGCTCACATTGACCTGTGCGGCTGCCAATATGAGGTCGTACATTCAACACTGGAATTACAGGCATGTGCCTATATAGGATCATCCCATTTTGGGGGGAAAATGGAAAGAGGATGGTTGTTACGGTTATGTAAATGCAATGCTCTGCTATCCGTGTTTCTCATTGCATCATGGTCACTGTGAGAACTGTGCATTTGTCTACTTCTTTATTGTATTTATATCCTGCCTTTTTTCCTTTGAAGGAACTCAAGGTGGTTTACATGATTTTTTCCTTCTCTCAGTCCTAACCTCACAACAGCAACCCTGTGAGGTAGGTTGGACTGGGAGTCTGTGACAAGTCCAAAGCCACCCAGGTAGCAGCATGGCTGAGTGGGGACTAGAACCCAGAACTCCAGAGTCCCAGTCCCGTGCTCTTCAGCACCACACTACACTGCATGCATATTTCAGATGTATTCATCATTTCAGTATTCTTCATTTGTAAGTTGGACTCAGCTGTCTAAGGTTTCATGCAAATAAATGGATATTCCAGAAGCTCTTCATCGTAAGTTAGACAATCTGGCAGATGCTGTATGTTCCATTAAGCATCAGTAGAAAGTTTGGGGTAAGAATGTAGGGAATTCAGTATTTTGTAGTTTTCCATGTAACCCAAGTTGGGAATCAAAAGGATAGAAGAGCCCCAGAGAAGACGAATGTTAGGAAGTTCCATAGCAGCACCAGTACATTCTGTGAATTGCCAGGTCTGATGTAGCTAAGTCTTATGCCTTTGTGTGGACCATGTTATCACACTAGGTGGGTTTATAATGAGTAATGGAAAGTTAGATCAGAGTTTGAGGTCTAATGCGTCTTTTTTCATGGAGACTAAAAAGTAGAAATTTTATACTGGGAAGTATTAAAGTATAAATATTATAATGGATCTTTATGTAAGAAATATCATTAATGCCTTTTTATTTATTTGAAATATTTACACATGTCTTCCCATTTAAAAAATTCCAAAGCAGTGTATAATAAATTATAAAACATTATGAAACTAGGGATGCCAGAAAAATCTGGAACAAATTCAAATGATTTCTGAATTTGTGAAACAGACTAGCATATTCCAGGGTATATAAATTCCACAGACTTGAAGGCTTTGTTTAACTTTTGAGAATTGTATGCAAGTTTAGTCACAGCAAAATATAAACATTTCTTAAAAACACATTAACATATTTTAAATGCTTTTTAAAAAGTATCTTTGTGTGTACATGTGTGTGTACACACACGTATCTGATCTCTATGTAGCCTCTGCTGCTTAACACCTTACATATATCCCCTTATGTGAAACGCAGTGATATTACAAATCATACTATGTGGGTATAGATTAGTTAATAAAAGGTAGAGTTTTATTTTTGTCATCTCCAGCTGATATCGTGGGTTGTGTATTTTCCCCCTCTCCTGTAATATGTGAGGGGGAAGCCACACAGCTGTATATCTGCAGTGAGACCAACCCAAGGTGGTGCAGCCAGTTGGTTAGGGGTGTTGCCACTTCACTCATGCTGGCATCCCTTCCCTGATTTAGTTGAAACATAACCTGCCATGTTAAACATAAAGCGGCCCCAAGGAAACTCTGCTTTGGTATGTTTCATGTGTCCCCTTCCATCTCTGAAGAACCAAAGCATGTTATGTAATCTTGTAAATCAACAAAAAGCGAATACCTTGCTGAAATTTGGTTTGTGTTTGTTTTGAAATGTGGCTTTCTTTTCAGTGTGTTTTCAAAGCTCCCAGGAGAAGGTGTTTGTGTGCATGTGTGTATGTCTGAGCACAGCAGTCATTCTAGTAAAAGCATCTAACCCAATAACAGGAGAACCTCATCCACATGATGGGGCCTTAATTGGGCCCTGTATATCTTTTGAAAGACTGCCTCCTCTGCTATCTCCTTGAGTGAGCGCTTGGTTTTCCTAATCTGCCAAGGTCAGAGCACAAGCGTAGGCGGGAGTGAAGCCACTCCAGTGCACTGCAGTTCCTTTCCACAGAAAGTATCTCTTGAAGGAGCATTGCCAAGATTTGTGGAAGAGATACACTGTGGTGGTGGCAGATGGGCTTTTCATGCCGAAGACCCTAGGTCATGGCATGCTTCGGTAGTGCTGGGAGACACTTGTCTTCAACCTTGAAGACAGCTCTGAATTGGGTGGAACAACCTAACTTGGAGGTTTGCAGAGCACAGATGAATGAAAACAGGTTATCTGTAGGGGGTTTAGCTGGGCCACCAGCCGAAGCTTGTAGAAGGCATTCCATGCCATTGGGGCCACCTGAACTTCATGTGACAATGATGACTCAGGCAAACCCCCCAAACTATACTGCTCTAACCACCAAAGGATTTGAGTCTTTATTCGAAAGGGCGGAATAAAACAAATCCTCATAAAACCCTTTTGAGAAAATGTTTAGGCCATTGGGTATATTACACTCCAACAGTATGAATGTCTGTTCATACATTGTTTACATACAAGTAAATACTCTTGTGTTCAGTGGGGACACATGGATTCTGGTCTTGGTGAAAAAATAATCAGTTATTTTGTTATTGGTTATGAAGATTAAATTACTGATAAGCGTTATTTTGACAGTGATTTGCAGCTAGACTGCAAAAACACCATAGCGAACATACGAGATTGTGAGAGCACCACTTACTTTGGAGGGTTTTCTGTTTTTAAGTATCCTAGCACATAGTGATGAGGCTGAAATTTAAATCTGTCATATTGGAGGGCCTGCTCTTCGGATCCGACTTCAGGGAATCCATCTGATTCCTGTAGGATCTGAAATCCGGCTTTATTTCTCTGGTTATTTAATGTGATGAATATTTGCTGTAACATGCAGATTAAAGATCCTTTCCCTCACTCAAAGCAACACGGGCATGCATTTAATTCCTTTGTGATTTGATATTTCAGCTGGAGTAACCACAGAAGCTATTCAGACTGCTACTGCTAGTCCTGAGCAGTTGGGATCTGAAACCAAAATTCAGGAAGAAGAACACGATCTGGCGGATGATGACATCTCAGCAGGTAAATATGTGGTTATTTTTCATATGAGTACACACCCATTGCCGGCATGTATCGTCACACTGATGAAGCATTGCATATGTGATAGTGCTAATTTCTAAAAGAAAAGGCTTAATTTCTTTGTCAAGGGGTTGGTTCTTCCAGCAAGATATGCATTTGTTTTAGATTTTGTGTAGCGCAGGCGATAATAGACATCTGCACAATTTCTACTGGCAAGTCCTCATTTTCATAGGGTGTCTGCTGGCCATGGCCCCTGCTGGTTGCATGCGAAACCTTTTCGTGAAGATTACAAATATAGCAGATGGAGAAGTCAAGCCAAGTTGGTTTTCTCCCATGCTTCATTCCTGATGGCAGAGTCCAAGTTAGTTCTTTCCTGAGAGCTCCCTGCAAAATGCAGTAATTGCAAAATGTCATCAGTGTACATGGTATTTACAGAGTAAGAGAGAAACAAGAAATATATGTACCTACTAAATGTCAACAAAGGGAGAAGTCTGGGTGGCAGGAGGTAAATGTGAGCTAGCTCAGTTACATGCAGTTGAGCCTCAGTTTTGATTAGTGAATAGTTTCACAGAAAACGTGGGTTTAGCGGAGCGGTGTTCTGTACCATGAGAGATGTTAAATATTTCTTATTTTTCTTGAATTGATTTGCTCTTGTTTAAGCTAATGGAAGGGGTATATACTGAAATGAAGATGTGTGTGTGTCCTCACAATTTAAATAACTATACGGTCTTGTTAATGTACTGCTAAAGCAATTGGCAGGCTGAAGCGCAGAGATTGTGTGAGCATCCTCTTGGATTCCATGACTTGACTGAGCTCCGTATAGATTTCTGTGCAGGGAGTTAAAAGGGAAAAAAAAGCTATATTTATTTCTATTGACCAGAAGGCTATATAAATTACAATATGAAAAATCTGGTAGGCATACACAGTGAAACCTATATCAAGAACTGTAAATTTCATTTTGGTGGCAATTGAAAGAAGGTGAGATTTAGCTGGAGCATTTATGCCACAAAACAGCATGAGGCAGTAAATCCATTTGGGCTTCTGATGATCTCTCGCATTTTGTAAACTCTGAGTAATGCCTCCTGTTCATTAGACACACTGCTGATGCACAATTATTTTTTTTTCAAGTTTTGCTCTATGCTTTGGGGCTTGCAGATTTTCAGTATTTTATGCTTTTGCTGTTGTGAGCTACCCAGAGGGGAGCACCGTGGGTTATAAATTTAAAAAGTAAAAGTATAACCATAGCATTTTCTGATGGGCATACCTTTTTTGCCTTCAGCTGCCTACCTTTCTGACAGCTATGTATTTCTGTTATTGTTTAACTTCCCTGTTGTTTAGGAAGGGCAAAAGGAATCTGGGCTTTGATACCAGTTGGGTCAGGATTTTACCAGTGAGGGTCTCTTCCCACATTACCTGTACAGTGGGTACAGCTCTAATCAATTTGTCCCTGTACAAGCTAAGGCACAGCTTGTAAGGCACACACGTGGAAAATGCTGATTCTTGTTGCACTGAATACTTAAAAGTACCACATGGAAATGGGTATCAAATGTCAGAGTTCCCTCCCTCCCTCCCTCCCTCTTTCTTCTGGACAGGGCTAATCAGGATTTTTCACCAGAACATATACATTTGTCTATGCCAAAAAAAATCAGGTTTGCCCTCTTGAAAAACATGAGCTTTGACAGTTGTCAAATTTTCATATCCCCATAAAGTTGGCTTGTACTTTCCTAACTTCCTGAGCTCTTAAAGTCTTGGGAAAGGGTGGAAAAATGCAGGACACTGAGAAGAAATCCAGGTCCAGACAAACTAAATAGAGCATTTTTCCACAGAGCAGGTGATTTGTGGCCACCCCTTTTTCCAGCAAATAGTACTTGTAGCTTTCTTTTCCTTTGACAGCTCATCTTGACACCTGACAAAGAAAGAGAAGTTAAACAAAAAACAAAAACCTTATTCGCAGTCAACATGTAGGTTGGTGCCGGTGGTACCAGTTGTACATTGACAATAGATATCCCCCAGGACATTGCCCTACGGAGCCTTTTCAGACCCTCAGAACCACATACTTCTGCTGTTGTGCAAAAATAACTAAAATTGTGACTAAACAGAATGAGATAAATCATTATAAGAAGTAGGCACATTGGAAGGCTGCAAATTTGGAGATGGGTGCTTGTGGTCTCTGGAAAACAAAATGGGAAAAAAGAGGAAAAGTTACAGTGAGTGGAAAACTGCTTGTGACTGTGGAAAAGGGTATCTGATCAGTAACAGTCACTGTATAGTGACAATTGGGCATATCAGGGACAGCTGTCACTGTTGGCAGAAAGGCAAGCTTGGCCAGAGTAGCTAGAGTTCTCGGTACCCTAATAGGATCAGTTGCCCAGAATCAGATGACTCATCAACCCATGGATACAACTACTCTTAGAATAAGCCATGGATTGTGAAGGTGGCTTGTTGCCCTCAAACAACCCACCTTGCAGAAAGTGGTCCAGGTAACATTTTGTGTAAACCCAGTCAACTTTCATTCATTTGATTATGGTAAAAATAATAATGAAAATAATGCTTTGTTTTGGAGAAAACAAAGTCTTATGGAAAATTATTTTCCTATCATCTTAAATGCGAATATCTGTTGATTAGCTTCATAATGTGAATGCAAGATAGGCCTCAGGAAGTCACCAAAACTTGCCACACAGAAATAATTTCTTCGAGTATTTGTTTAAAAATCCTTTTTTATATTATCCCTGGCTAAAATGAACCTGGTTACTCTTAATTTCTGATACTGTTATGGAAATTCGCTTAGATAAGCGCCCAAGTGAATAATTCAGTGGGAATTATCTTAACTAAAATGCTACACATTTGGAGAAGATGCAAAATACTGTTACAATGACTGACCAATATGTATTTCTGATTGTCATAGATGGTTCTTTAACTGTAACAACCCAAGCTTCTGTTGAATGCCCTGTTTTTGCAGTTCTCACCATTAAAAATGCATTGTTGAGACCTGAAAATGCAACAAATGTAAAAGCGTTGCACATGCTTTATATTTCTAAAAGGAGATATTAACCTTTCTAAGCAGATGCAGCTGGATAGATTAATATTGCAGTCAGTGTCTGTAAGGATAATTTTAGCCTCCTCTTGGTCAGCACAGTTGACCACATAATAGGAGCAAAGATCAAAGGTCATTGACATTGTCAAAAGCAGAGAGTATGATACTATATCATAACTTCTTGTTGACAGATTTAACTCCTTTCAAGTAAAATGCAGTCTGGTCATATCTGAAATGTAGCAACAGACTATTTTAGGGCTCTGGAATATGGATAAAGAGTCTTGCAGTTTCATTGGAGGTTTTTTATTAGAATCCCAAGATCCACCATCTGGAACTTGATGGAAAGGACATACACTTAGAATTTAATAAATCAGAAACAGAAATGTGTATGTCTTCTACATAAAAATCTCCCCCACCCTGCTGCCCCACTTACCACCATTTACCTCAAATATTCAACATTGCAGTAGTATAATTTAGGGTTGAGTGTGGGGATCATTTGTTGTTGTTGCTACCGCTGCTCTTGTTAAAGATTTGGAATTGTGAAATCTTTGTTGATCGATTTTAGATCCTCCAGAGATGTACCACTAGATCCAGTTCACTGTCTCTTCTTCCCTGGATTAGGCAGGAAAAACCACACCAAGGCGGAAGGGAGCTGCCGATAAGTTGCAGGACAGAATATAACAGCATTTATCTTCTACTTGGCACTTGATTTCTGCCACACTTTCCAAGAAGATTGACCAGCCCTGTTCTAAACATATTAATTTCTTCCCGAGAACTACTCCAGGTGAAGATTCTCTCCTGGGTGGTAACATTTCCTTCTCCTAGCTTGTTAGTTGTGATAGGCATATGGAATGTATTCAAAAGAACAGGGATTGCTCTGTATTTGGAAGCATGTGAAATTTTAATAATCAGATGTCTTTGGTTTAAATGGAGTGACGCTGCAGTCTCAGAAAAAAGCTCTGAAAAGAAAAAATATTTTTTAAAATTACCAGGGCAGTCTAATGGGTAGGCAGGTGAAGGTCTTGTGCTTGCAGTGTCAAGACACTGGTTAACCCAATTCAAAGTTAAGGAGTGTCTTTTCCCGTATCTACCTACCCAGGTGATCATCAGAGGCCCCCATTGGTGGGTGGCTACAAGAAAGAGGGCCTTTTCATTGGTGGTGCCTTGTCTGCGGAATACCCATGCCTAATGACTTTTTCAGTAACCTACATTATGGTCCTTTTAGTGCCAGATGAATTTCCCAGGCATTTTAGGAACTCGTTTGGTTCTTTTAGACATTTGCTCTGTTTTTTCCACTTGCTGTTTATGTTACTTTAAGTTTTATTGTTGTGCTGCAATGTTTTAGTCCTTACTGCTGGTTTTATCAGCTGCTTTTTTATTGCCACTTTTTTATATGTACCCTGTATTTTTTTTAATTTATCTGTGCACTAGTCAAAACGTGTTGGTTACTGGGTAGTCTAAAAATGTAAGAAGTAAATAAATAGAGTAATGGTTGCTCATGGCACTAGAATTACTGCGGTTTCCACAGCAAAACATCAGTATTAATTGAGGAAGAATCGCTTGGTTCTGCCATTTGGACTATGGGGTTGAATGCTGGCCAAAAGTAGTGACCCCACAATAAAAGAAGATCCTGTGTGTGATTCAGAGACAACTGTACATTTCCATCAAGTGATATCTTTAGATCGTTTAGAGATACCATTATATATGATAAGCAGCACATACACTAATTGAGGGCGCAGTCCACTGCATGTTTTAACAGAAAAAGTCCTGCGTGGCTGATGAGGGAAGGCAGGAAGATTAGGGAACCTTTTCTGTTTAAACCTGCAAAAGATAGTGTTCTAAATATCTAAATCGTGTCCTGTGCAAACCTCCAGAGGCCCTTTGGAAAAGAAGATCGTCTAGCTGTTTTTATCACCAGTGTTGTCTTTCCATTTCACCACATAGTATAGACTTCACTTGCAACCCCAAA